TTTCTTGTCATGTGGCAGCACCACAGTTTCTTTTGAAACTTACCCTCTTTAGTCATTTATCATATTAGAGTATAGTAGGACTAATTACATCAGGAAACAAACATAAAGATATGTATTTTAGGTTTGCGAATAAGTAGGTTGCGCTTTTTTAGAAATTTTAAGATTATTAGGCTATGTTCGGTAAGACGCTTAACAAAGACTTGGAGGTTATTTTGATAACTTTTGCTAACGTGATATCTCACAAAGCATTGATCAGCTTCTAGAAACCTTGAGATAATGACTTCCTTTTCAAACAGGAATTTTCTTGTGAGATTGTTGAACACACCCGTGAAGACAATTAAGTCATTATCTTGTCAATTTTTGGAAAAGGGAAATTGTCAGTAGCCTATGTGGAGCCACCGTTATTCTTGATATTTTTAAAAGACGTCAGTCGTGACCAAAGCTGGAAATGCCATTGTGATTGTTGATCCGAGCTGATTTCGGGAACCCCTCCGTGGCAGTAGAAGTTTAGTATCCCGAAGTCACAAACACAGCTTTTCTATCTATAAACAAAACCGGTTTGTTCTATCCTCTCATAACTTTTTCTGAAAAAAAAAAAAATACACCCTCAAAAGCGACATGCATCACTACACTTACGTGTGGTGTCAATCAAAACTCAACTTTGTTCGGGCCCAGTCTCCGACGCTCTCCCCCCCCCATATATATGGACGGATGATATAAGTTGTCTAAAAATAGGAGGCTGGGCAACATAACTTGATTTAAACCTTACGAAGGTCACTAGTAATCCTATGCTATAACTACTAAAAAATGTTAAATGTTCGAGTTATTCTGAGTTCTTCTCTGCCTCGGCAGGTTGACGGGTCCTATTTCCTGCTTGTAAGGAGGCCAGTCATCGAGGCCGGAATGTGATTCTTAAGGTTTTGTCGCTCTCTCAGGTTACAGAGGTACTCTGTAATTTGGTGGTATCAACTAAGTTTAGTTTGTAAGTTGGCCACCGTATAGAGTTAACTCTTTACGGTGGCCAGTTTATAATTTCAACTTAGTTGATAAAACCAATGTAAATTACCTTGTTACCCCCACCGACGCAGCACCACAGTTTTTTTAGAAACTTACCCCCTTTGCGGAGGTACTCTGTTTACCATCTCTTTCATAATGTTTCTTTGCACCAGCGGAGATGTTTTGCTCTACATCGCAGGTCGTATCATCAGTGTGGTGTGGCGTGGCATTTCCACTTCAATCCTCGAAATAGCTGAGGCGCTTATTGTTAAATGTTATCTCAACATCGAGTAGCACTTCCTCCAATTTTGCCAACGATAGAAAACAGCACCCGATGGTCTTGTGGAATGTGTTTTTTACTAGTCTAACCATTCGTTCAAACTGCCCGCCCCACCAGGGGGAACACTAAGGTTTAACCTTCAAAAAATGCCAGTCTCAGTAAGGAATTTGTGGACTTCTCGTCCCTCAAGGCTTTCTTCAACCAACGTGCTGCACCCACAACTGTAGTTCTGTAGTTTTTGTATTTTGGGTGCCTTGATTTTTGACTCATTGCCTTTATGTTTAAGGAATAGTAACTCTAGAATTTCAGAGTTGAGGAAAGCCCTGGACGACCGTTAATTCTGAATTCTATTGAGTTTTCATTCTGAAGGGATATCCTAGAGAAATTTCGATTGTTGTAATTATTTATCGAAATAAATTTCCCCTTCT